GCAGCAGCAGCAGCAACAACAACAACAGCCGCCGCCGCAGCAGCAGCCCCAGCAGGGCGCCTCGCCCGCCTCGTCGGGGGGATCCTCGTCGCAGGGCAAGAAGGCGCCCGCGCAGGAGCGCGACCTGCCCAACGGAGCCCCCGAGTCGCCCCACTCCAGCGCCTCGCCCTGCCAAGAACACAAGCGAGCCCTGGCCGACCTGAAGGGCCACCCGGAGCCCGCCCCGTCGCCGGCCCAGCAGCAGCAGCAGCAGCAACTGCTGGCCCAGCATCACGCCCACGCGGGGCTCTCCCACGAGGCCCACCTCAAGGCGGAGCACCACTNCCACCCCACCCCCACCAGCACCATCCCCATCACAAAATGGACCTCAAGGCCTACGAGCAGGTGATGCACTACACCGGCTATAGCTCCCCGGTGCCGGGCAGCCTGGCCATGGGCTCCGTCACGAACAAAAGCGCCCTGGAGGCCTCGACTTTGGCCGCAGACCCTTCCTATTACCAAGGGGTCTACTCGAGACCCATCATGAACTCTTCCTAAAGGGCAACTCCCCCCATCACAAAATGGACCTCAAGGCCTACGAGCAGGTGATGCACTACACCGGCTATAGCTCCCCGGTGCCGGGCAGCCTGGCCATGGGCTCCGTCACGAACAAAAGCGCCCTGGAGGCCTCGACTTTGGCCGCAGACCCTTCCTATTACCAAGGGGTCTACTCGAGACCCATCATGAACTCTTCCTAAAGGGCAACTCCCCCTCCGCTTCATCCCTTCCCCCCTCCCCTCCCAAAAAAAGAGAGAGAGGGGCCTGCTCTCCACCACAATCCGGGAGCTCCTTTTTCTTATTCACAGCCGCTCCAGCGGAGACTTTGCTGAGTTGGAGAAGAGGGTCGATCCCCTGGAGTGGTCGGAAAGGAGGGGAACGGGGGCCAGAGCCACGTCGCAGCGCCATCCTTTGGCCCAGCACCCCGGCAACCACGGACCTAACCTCCGGCTCCAGCCCCACTCCAATCCGGATGCCAGCCCCATGAGACTCGAAGAATCTGGCGCTCACGCCCACTCCCTAAATCCAGGCCTCTTCTCTTTGTCCACACGCCGCTAAGGATTCGTTAGCTCTATTTTTGAAAGAAAGGAAGAGGAAAAGAAGAACACTTTCCAATGGGGGGAGGCGGGGGTACGATCCGCACCACTTTTCGCCCAAGGCCCACGAACTCATGCTCTGCGCCTAGTAACACAGAGCCCAATACTATTTAGCCGACGTTTGCAGTCCAGCGATTTTAAACTCCTTCCTTTTACCCTTTTCTGGACGACTTAAGGGGGGGGGAGAGAGAGAGAAATGTAAAGAAAAAGAAGAAAAAAAAGAAAAGGAGGGGAGCATGGGTCTCCGACAACCCTGAGAAGTGTGGGATGTCATGGGTTTTGGGCCCCTGATTATCCCCCGTTATCTTCAGACAGCCGTTTAATTTTCTTTGAAAGGGAGGTTTTCTTTTTAGGCGTTTCCTTGTTATGTATGTATGTATGTTTGTTTGTTTGTCACAAGGAGTTATAAATATATCTATTTTTGGGTGTGAAAGAGACACCAAAATAAGTGTGTGTGAACCAATGTTAGACTTTAAAACCGAGGATCAAAAGACTGTAGCATTGTGACGTCAGAAAAGGCAGAAAGAGCGAACGAGAAACAGAAAAGACTGGAGGTTGCCGTTTGACAGAGGGTGGTTTGACATTACCGGGAGAGTAAACGACTCAGATTGAATTAATTTATCGTTTCTGTACGCTTTATTTATGGCTTATAAATCTGTATTCTGGTAACAAGCAACCAAATTCTCAAACACTTGCATTAAAATCTGTTGGAGTTGTTTCCCCCTTACCCATTTTAACTTTTCCCCCTCACAAAAATCTAGTCTGTTACTATTATCATTATTATTATTAGTGAAATTCAAACTTTGAAAGAGGATTCGGGAAAGATAATGAGCTAATTTCAATTCTACTGCGGTCCTTGTGCGTAGGATCAGGTTTTTATTTAGGATGCTCCCTTTTCCTTTGCTTTTTTCCCCTCTGACATGCATAGAATAATGTTGATTCAGAGCCTGAAATACGATGCTTATTTCAGAGGAAGCCTCTTTGGCCAGTCTCCTATTGCTCCTCTCAGTTACTAAACGATAAATTGGCAGTTATGTAAATCCCATTGAGTCTATGAGTCTACTCCACTTAGGAGTAGGATGTTAGTGGCCACTGAATTAAACGAGGTTTATTTCTGACTAGACATGCGATTGCATTGCTCAATAGATATATTTCTAATATATTTTCTACATTGTTAGTTCTTACTGGGACGTAGGTTCTAAACATACAGCCTAAACGAGTGTCCTTACTGGAAAGCAAGTCCACAGGATTCAGCTGATCTTCAAGCATGGACTGAAATGCAGACTTGGGGGTGGGTGGGTTGGAGTTTCGCTGAGTTCCCTGAGAACTCCTGGACAGGATTGCAACTTTACTCCCCAATAAAGACTCATAGAATCGCAGCTTTGTACGTACATCTGTAGAGAATTCCGACTTCACTGGTGTGAGATGTCTCGTTAAACCTGTATAGAATTATGGGAGGGTTAGACTTAGAGCCAAAGCTGAGCCTGTTGTACGTATTGCCTTTTGTTGCTTGCATGAATGTTCCCGTTGATTCTAACGTTTCTTGACAGAAAACCCGATGGGTGATAATGGAACCAGTAACCGCTCACTTGCGCGTTTCTGCACTGAAAGTAAGTTCTACGAGGTTTAGTGAAGTTGGTTTCTCCTGCAGTCTTAATGTAGTGGGGATCACACGTTCTTGCTGTTTTCTCGTTGGTTTCTGCGTAGACCGAGACCTTCATTGACTTCAGCGAGTATCTGGGATCCTACCTTTAGGGGAAAGGCCTATATATTCCCATCTGGATATTAGAGCTATTCATATCTGCAATCGTGCGCCCATTTAGTTGGAACTCAAGGAGGCTGATTTCTGACTAGAGGCACGCCAGATTGCACGGTGAAGAGAGTGACAAGTGTCCCAGCGACTTTAATGGGACTTATTTCTAGATGAGGTTGCCTAGAATTGCAACTTAAATAATGGCAAAGGAAACAATACTATTAAAGTGATGCCACTGGCTATCGTTAAGCGCAAATCTATGCTGAGCCTGGAAATCCTGAAACTGCCTCTGGCTCGCGGTCTTAACATTCAATATTTATAGAGCCCATTCCAAGAGTTCAAAGTCCCTGCACATGATCACTTCCGTCTCCATTAATCCCTGCAACCAGCCTGCAACTGGGATAATTTCGTGCGTGGTGGGGAGATTTTGCTGGGGCTCACGGAGGCTGCGGCTTGCCCGAACACTAAAAGGTCTTGGAGCTCCTTCAAAACTAGGAAGATCTACTGAGCAGATTTCGTGGACTGCAATCCGCTTCCTTAGGTGCCTCTGCTGAACTGGACCGCAGTCCTCGAAAGCTTCTGCCCGAAAACCCTTGTCAGCCTCGGAGGTGCCGCAAGACTCCGCAGTTTCAGCTGCAACAGACTAACAAACAGGTTCACCTCTTTGTCTTGCTTGTGGGCACATGGCCTTTGCATTGATCAAAATGAAGCCCAAGACTTTGTAGTTCGCTCTTAGCACTGCATCCGAGTAACAGGTCCTCATCCATTTAAAAACGTCACATTTTCATTTTTTTAAAAAATATATTAGCACTGTTCTTTTCTTTAAAAAAATAACCTGGGGCAGGAAACTAGCAGAGGCCTGTATTAATTTCAGCGGAGCTGGAACTGATTGGCGCATTACTGTGGAATAATCGTGGGAATAATTGTGTTGTTTTTTTTAACTCGGAAAACATCTGCGAAGCGTTTGGGTGCCCCCACCCAGCCGTAGGATGAAATAAAACTCCCCTCGCGCCCTCCCACGAAGGCGGGCCCACGAGTAATAAAATGTTCACGATTAGTTTTTACTGCCCAGAAGGGAATCCCGGGAATGGGAGTCCGTCTGCTCCCTCGCTCTCAGCAAGGGACTTTCCCGGCGTTAGGGAAGGCAGGACCGGTTTCTGAGTCTGATGCCCGCTTCTGGACCCTCCAGGCCGCCCTCGCTTCCCCAGGAGTCCTGCCAAGAGGAGATCGGTCTGCTTGCCTGTTCTCGCTCTCTTGGCTTCGTTCTGCGCCTGCTTTGGATTCGCCACTGCTTCCCTCTGAAGGTCGCAGCCTCTCGCCGAGAGAGAGCAGAGAGGGCAGCGCTGGAGGCGACGTCAAGCCGTCCCGATCCGTTCATGCCGAAACCAGCTGCTGCTGGTCCCGTTGGTAGCCTTTCCCCTGTGAGTTAGAGGGAGGCCTTTTTCAGTAGCATTCGCTGTCCAGAGATTAAGGGGCAGAGTAGGGAGAAAAGACGAGTCTACATGAAACCTGCTTTAGTGTGCTGAAACCAAACCCAGATCATTGAGAGACTGATCCTGGCTCAAGCAGTTGACCTTGGAACCTGGTCCTGCCAGCCTTCTTGCTTCACAATGCAATCTTCTGCATGTCTACTCACACAAGTCAGTTCTATTCAGTGCAGTGGGACTTATTCCCCAGTAGTGGTGAAGAGAGACAGATGGCTCATCAGGACAGTTCCCAGCAGCCACACCTCTAGAAAGAGTCCAAAAGGAATGGAAAGGGGGCAAGGCAAGGCAGCTTGTGTAAATAAACTGGCTCCGGTAGTACTGATCTCTACCAGGAGCAGGGCTTTTGTAAAACTGATGGGTCTTGATTGCCCAATGGAGACCAAGAAGTTACCCCAAAAATACATCACAGCAGGGATAGCACACAACAATCTATTGATTGGTTTTGCCTTCAGCTACTGTTAGGATGGTGTTTGAATTCAGAGAGTAATCTGAGGAAATGGGATGCCAATTTGCACTCCCTCCTGATCCAAAAATGCTGGTGCTTGGACTCTGCCAGCCCCAACTGCCCAATGCCATTGCTCCCAAGTATCTTTGCAGACTGCAGCCCTCAAGATTTGTTTTATTTGTACAGGCTTGGAAAACAAGAGGGGCCACCCACCAAATAACAGGCTCCACTACCTCATAGCACCCTGTGACTTCTGAGCCCCTCTGAGTGCAGTGCAACTCTAGGCATGCTTATTCAGAAGGAAGGTCCATTGCTTGTTTCAGTGGGACTCCCCTCTGATGGTATAAATATTTGCCATGTTATATCTCTCTCTTGTGTCTGAGGAAATGGACTTTTTTTTTTTTACGAAAGCTCACATTAAAATATAACAGAGTCTTTAAGGTGTCACCATCTTTTTGCCTTTTTATTTGTTCTTTTCATGTTCATTTTGTCTTTAATAATATAATATAATAATTTATTGTCATTGTAAGTATATACACAGTATACCATAATTAAAATATAACAGAGTCTTTAAGGTGTCACCATGTTTTTGCCTTTTTATTTCTTCTTTTCATGTTCATTTTGTCTTTACATATAATGCTTGCACAGACTACCACAGCGACCTCTTTTGCAACTTCACTGTCCCTATAATCAAAGGGACTACAACTGTAGGGGCATTTGCTGGGAAG